GGGACTGCAGGGAGGATTTACATCTGGGGCTTCAGACAACTTTCTGTACCCCATCAGTTTGCAGTTTGATGTACAAACCCTCTATCACTCTGATAACCAAATATCCTGCCTCAAACTTTATGGTCAGGTAGTATTAGAAACATATTTGAAGATGCTAGTCTATTGTTTCTCCAAAATTAAACTATTTGGAATTTTTTTTTGAACAATGGCTTCTCCTGTCCCCTGCACATTCAAATGTAGGAACAAGCCGCTCCTCTGGCCTGAGCTCCATGTCTTCCTCCTTTTTCATCTTGCTCCTCTGCCTTGGTTCTACGGTGACTTCATACACACAAAAGTGACGAGCTCAGGATAGAAACCGAAGCAGGAGCGGGGGCCTGGCAGGGATCCAGCCTGGAGAGAGCTGTGCTCCAGACAGGCGCATAGCCCCTGCCATCCCGATGCCGGCCAGGTGGGTGCCGCATCTGCAGGTGGAGGGTTTTAACTTGAGTCTTCCCTCTGCTTCTCCGCACTGCCCCGGAGCTCACACTGAGGGACTGTGGGGATAAGTCAGGATCACGGAGACTGTCAGAGTAGGAGCCTGGAAAAATGAGGGACAGGCTGTCGAGGCTCTGCTGCACCTTGGCCCCTTAGCAAGCGCATTTTGACAAGTGGGCCTGAGGATGGGGGTTGCTTTAGGTATAGCTCTTTTTTCTATAAAAAATTAAATGGTAATTTTAAATTTACTGAAGAGAGGGCTGGAGAGATAGCTCAGTAGAATAAGTGCTTGCCTGGTAAGTACAGGGTCCTGGGTTCAAGCCCCAGTACCACCAAAAAAAAAAAAAAATTGCTGAAGAGAAATTGATGACACTAGCACTGCCAAATGAGAGAGGGAACAAAGGAAAAAATTGAGTGTAGCACAAAATGCCCCTCCTCCAGGACACTTCAGTTTCTTAGTTACCCAGGTAATAGTTCCTGTTGCAGTTCCAGTGGCTCCTTCTCCTAGCAACGGCTGATCACTGTGATGCACAGGGTATTGACTAATCCCCACTGGACAAGTCATTCAGTCTTGGTACTTCCTGCTTGTTATCTCATATAAGCCCTAGACCACCAGAGATCAGGCCCTGATATTTTGAGGTGATTCCAGTCAATACTCCTTGACATAAACTAAATCTGCCTCCAAATCCTGGGTGTTATTTTAGCATTTCTGTTTGCTGTTGCATCTGGTGGGTCATCTAGAAAAAGCAACTGTGCTGCTGTCTTATTCACTGGTCATAGCCCTCGTGGTCAGAGCAAATATTGTGGGCAGCTGAATTAGATAAAAATATTATAGGCCGTCAGACAGGTCCAGGCCCTCAAGGAGACAATATGGAAGACAAGGTGACTT